AAACGAAGAAAGCTAGAGCACAGCGACTCGGAAGCAGAGAGCGAAGGAAGCTTTGCCAACTTTGACGAAACCAACAGCGCTGCGCATTCGAATGGAAGCGACGCTGAAGATGGGCACGACGAGAGCGACGACCTCTCCATGGACGGCGCGCAAGAGATGGAGGATGGCGACAATGACGACAATGAAGATAAAAATATGAGCGAAGACGAGGAAGAAAGCTCCGAAGCTGAGGAGAGCGTTCAGGAAACCAAGAAGCAGGCCACAACCGCCAAAGCCACGAGCGCACCCAAGCCACCCAAGCGGACAGCACCCAGTCTCCAGGACGGCGTCTACACTGCGGATTCCTTCAAGTCAAACATTTTCAAGCTTCAGGTAGACGAGCTGCTTGAGCAGGTCAAACTCAAGTACGGCAAGAAGGAGGCACCTGCTGAGAATGCAATGCGAACCCTCAAGACTGTAATCGAGCAGATTCCTAGCCGCGGCCCACTTCCAGTAAGCCACGATCGTTATATGCATCATCAGCGAGTACTAACATGCTATAGATTGTCGAGGCCGAAAAGGCGCTCAAATCAGCTGGCGTCGCGATTCCGTTCCCCAGCCCTCGCCCACCGAAAGATGCTTTGTACAAACTGCAATACGAACAACCTGCGAGCGTAAACGCAACCGGTAGCTACCCCCTCAAAACTGCGACTCGAGCCGAAGAGAGATTTGCGATTGATCTTGTCGTGACCATGCCGAAGAGTCTGTTCCAAGACAAAGACTATCTGAACCACCGATACTTCTACAAGCGCTCATATTATTTGGCTTGTTTGGCGGCAGGAATCAAGGCCTCGAAAGAGCACAAGTTTGATTTGTTCTTTGACCGCTTGAATGGGAACCAGCTTCAGCCTGTTCTCGTCGTCCGACCGAGCGGCAACGGCGATGCGGACGACTTTTCTAGCTCAAAATGCCAGATCAACGTACTAGTAGCGCTTCCAGAACACACTTTTGCTCAGAATAAGCTTCTCCCAACCTCCAATTGTGTCCGACCCAAGGGTAGCGAAGACGAAACTTCCAGCAAAACGCTCGCGGCGACGCCTTTCTACAACAACAGCCTGCAATCTGACGCGAACATTACAGCATACCTCAAGCTCTTGCACGGCACGGCCTTAAAGGCTGAAGCTTTCAAGGATGCATGCATATTGGGACGCATTTGGCTGAAGCAACGCGGATTTGGCAGCCAGATTCGCAAAGGAGGGTTCGGAAACTTTGAGTGGGCTGCCATCATGGCTATTCTGCTTCAACCAAATGCTGGAACAGGTGCTCAGTCAGTCTCTTCAAGTTTCAGCAGCTATCAACTATTCAAGTCGACGCTGCAGTTTCTGTCGCGTGGAGATCTAACGAAGAAGCCATTCATCTTCCAAGCATCCAACATCACTATCCCCAAGGCAGAGACCGCCCCCGTCGTTTTTGACGGACCACGAGGACAGAATGTGTTGTTCAAGATGACCCCTTGGTCGTACAAGCGTCTGCAATCAGAAGCAAAGGCTACTATCGACATGTTGAGCGATTCCGTATTCGATCAGTTTGATGCAGCCTTCATTTTGAAGACTGAACTGCTCAAGTACCGCTACAATGCAACCCTCGAGATTCCCCTTGCCTCCCTCGGTCTCGAAGCTGGAAGCGAAGAATACGATTCGCAGCTTGGTGAGACTTGTCGAAAAATACACAGCACCCTGACCCGTGCGCTGACCGATCGTATCACTGCTATATCGTTCACTATGCCCGAGGAGGAAAGCTGGTCGGTATCCTCAAGGCGCCCTCAGGAAAAGCAAAGCAAAAGCATCCTTATCAACTTCGAAACAGATCCTGCCAACGTCACTCGTACCATAGATCATGGACCTCCAGCAGAAAACAAACAGGAGGCTGCTGTCTTCCGTAAGTTCTGGGGCGAGAAAGCTGAGCTCAGACGCTTCAAAGACGGAAGTATTCTGGAGAGTGTTGTTTGGACGGTCAAGGACACAGCAGCATCTGTCATGGAGCAACTTGTTCTCTATATACTTGGCAGACACCATGGTACACAAGTATCTGAGCAAGCCAGGTTCACAATTGATGCATTCGGCCACCTTGTAACAGCAGGCCGTATGCAGGGACAGTCTGGGACCGCGCCATTTCTCCCCATTATGAACGCGTTTAGTGCCATGGAAAAAGACATTCGGGACTTGGAAGAGCTGCCACTTCAACTTCGCCATCTAAGAGCTGCCGATCCACAACTACGGTATGCGTCTGTTGACGTTCCCACTGTGGGCCATGCCCCAGCATCAGTCGTATTGCAATTTGAAGGCTCTGGACGCTGGCCGGATGACTTGTGCGCCATCCAGCGGACCAAGATTGCTTTCCTCCTCCGAATGGCTGAGCTCCTACATAGACTGGAGTCTGGCTATATTGCCCGTGTTGGCATGGAAAATCCCTCACAACCGGCTCAGAACCAGGCGTTCTTGGATGTAACAGTTGTTACGGGCTTCACATTCCGCATTCGCATCTACCATGACCGTGAGCCTACGCTATTCGAACGCCAAATTAAGGACAAATCATTAGACACTCAATCGCGCGAGTCTGCTGCCGCTTCTTTGGCACTATACAAGCGCGAATTCATTCAATCGCCTCAACATTCACAAGCACTACAAACACTTTGTACCAGATTCTTGGCACTTTCACCAGCGATACGATTGACAAAGAAATGGTTTGCGTCACATCTGCTCGCACCACACTTTTCGCCCGAGCTCATTGAGTTACTTGTTATACGGACGTTCCTACAGCCACAGCCGTGGCCTGTACCATCTACGGCAACAACAGGTTTCCTACGAACATTATCGTGGATCAGTCGCTGGGACTGGCGCCATGTTCCTTTGATCGTGGATTTCTCAACATCCTTTTCTGCCAATCCTGCCAATCTTGAAGACACGTCTCTGAAAGGCATGAAATCAGAAGATCTGGACCGCTTACGAACTCGCTTCGAGGCATGGCGACGAATCGATCCTGCCATGAATCGTGTTGTACTTTTCGCAGCTACCAACCTTGATGAAGAAGGCACGACTTGGACAGACAAAGCAAAACCAGAAAAGGTTGTTGCTGCTCGTTTGACAGCTCTGGCCAAAGCAGCCACGCAGGCTGTTCGCGCAGACGAAGATGGCTTGTTGAAGCATATTAGCAACAACAAGGACGCGTCTAAAGCATACAATGCTCTAAGCCCAGAGCCCCTCTTCGTTCCCAGCATATCGGAATTCGATATCGTTATTTCCATCTCCTCAAAACACAGCCTGAAATCATCCAAATCTCACAAACCCGCCACCCAGTTCAAGAATCTCGATCTCCAAAAGTCATCGAGTCCCTTGCCCACACCAACTCCCCTCCCCCAGCTCTTCGCCGAAGAACTCTCAGAAGTCTATGGTGATGCAGTGCTGTGGTTCTGGGATCCAGAGAGTCTGGATAAGATTGTGGGACTGTGGAATCCGGTTGTTACGGGTCAGAGAAGTTGGAAGATCAAGGTTGGGTGGAACAGTGTGCCGGTGGGGAAGAAGGACAAGGCTGAGATCAAGGTGAATAAAGAGGCAATTGTGCATGAGATTAAGAGGCTGGGTGGGGATCTCGTGAAGAGCGTTGACGCGAAGTTTTGAGCCTGGGGGGGATTGTAAATAGTATCGACGTTTGAATTTAACAAGTGCATTTTTTTTCCAAACTACAATTCCAGATCTGAGCAATTTGATATGCTAACACTCTTGTAGTGAAACTAAAGGTAATAGGAAAACCAGCATTCTTTCTACTCTCTCTACTCTTGTTGCACTTACGCAACCAGAAAGTGGCTCAAGCAGCTCAAGCGGATCTTGCACACTAGCCCCGAGTCCATACTTTCACCCTCATCTGCCTCTTCTAGCTACGTCCACCGATTCTGTAGTTGGGCAAACACACAAACGCATACCATTCTGAAAATTCAACCAAGTACTCGGATCCCCTGGTATGTGTGCGAGGCTGAGCAACTGCTGGTTCCCACTTGGATCTAGATCCTAGAGGATGAGGATCTGAGCTTCAGACCCAGGATGGAGCTTGATTTAAGGCTTTTATTGAAGGGTTTCTTTTTGGAGGGGGACGGTGTGAGCTGGTCACTAAGCACGGATCGGAAAAAGGTGGATGTGACGGAGTCAGAGTGTGTTGAGTTTTACTTCTCCCCCTTTCTTAACGCTCTTGTATGTACAGGCTGTAGGCTGTGTGTTTGCAAGACTGGTGTGTTGGGTCAACAGACCTTGCGCACCTGCAATGGATGGTTGCGCCTTTGAGTAATCTACGTTGGTACAGCGTGGTATTGACAGCGGTCTGGATCTTCCCATGTCAGGCACGGAGTTGCTTGAATCTGAATGTGACTATTCCTTCTGACATTCCTGTGTTTGGAGTATTGCCAGTTGTGATTTTTATTCATGGTGGCTGTTTCATCATTTGTGAGCCCTACTAGCTACAATATGATCCTTGCCGGTTGGTTAAGATGTCTGTGGAAATGCATGTGCCTGTTGTCGTGGTCAATATCAATTTTCACCTGGGAATACTGGGTAACCTGACCAGCGAGGAGTTCATAAAAGCGGGATATCCTAGGAACAATAGCGTTAGAGACCAGCAGTGTGCGCTGAGATAGGTGAATAAATTCATTGGAGGATTTGGAGAGAGTGCTGATGCTGGTGAGTCCGATTTTCGTTCGTTCGGTTCTCTACTGATTGAATGGCTTTGTGAGGGAGGGTATACTGACAAGAATTCAGTGTCGGTGTTGCATCAGCTGAGTGCTTCATCTGACTCGACGGCTACCTTGACAAGCATGTCAGCCAGATCTTCGACTGACACTAGCAGCTCCATCACCACTGTTTGTTCGGCATTCTAACTAGGACTTAATATAATGATCCTAGATAGCGTACAGAAGCCCCAGAAATTCAAGGAAAGGCTACTCTTGCTCTTGCTACGGCTTGTCTCACACTACTCTAGTTTCTAGATTCAGGTGCAGTCGCCCTTTTTGGTCCGCATCGTGAAAGTTGACTAGTCTCCCACCACATCTTTCCCCAGCTATCCTCAAGTTCCTCTATCTCTTCCTCACTAGTATCGGTTGTGTCATGCTGCCTGTTTGCTATAAGGGTATCTGCATGCCTGATCGTGTACTGCTCCGGAGTCATTTTACTGATATCGACAGAACGCAAAGTATATCCTAATTCTCCATATGTCCGTCCCAACTGCCCGGGATAGCTTTGGTTCAGAGCCAAGCTCGTCATTGGCGTGTCGGCCTTCAAAACCGTTCTTTGTGGATCTGAATGATCTGGAGAGGAGTGTTCTTCGGAAGAGACACCACCGATATGGGCCATCCTGTGGTTAGAAGTCCAAGACATTGTATGTCCAAAGACAACCGCCCCGTTATTGTTCAGGGTCTCCGGCTTGCGAGGGCTCGGGAAGAGCATTGAGCCTTTGATTAATGCCTTGGGGAACAACGCTTGTACAGGATCATGGCCCTCCATACACAGCTTGTGAGGCTCTTCCATCTGTCCGCGGCCGAGGCACCTGCAGGGTGTGAAAGGATCTATTGGAGAATGCCATAGCAACCCTCGCACAATCTCAATATCTCCTCGCTCCGTCTTTCTGGTCTTGCTCATTATGACGTCCAAGTCATGTAGACTGGCTGCCAGGTGATACTCGCCCTTTGGTAGCTGTGACCATTGGGAACAGATTCTCTCACACTTTGACGGTCTGATGATATTCCCGAATCCACGGCCAAATAGCGTAATGGCCTTCAAAGAGTGAACAAAATCAACCCAACCATAGCCCACTGCTTTTAGGGTCGCAACACGTGGTTCAGGGTCGCTTTCACCAGCGAGGTCTTCGAAATTCCAACCTTCGAGATGTCTTCTGATCCGGAACTTGAGGTTGATACCATTTAGCCCCGCGAGTTGTTTGTGGCTTTCCATAAGAACTTCGAGAACGGACCATTTTTGTTCTACCAGGTTTTCAAAGGTGTACTTCGACTTATTTGTTTTGCGGGCCGCGCTGGGCTGATTTTGTACTGGAAGTTTCTGTTCTGCTCCCGTCGCATTCTCACTTTTGCCGCGCCAAACCTCAAGATCCCTATTTCGTTCGTTTTTGAGGACTTTCCTTGCGGATGCAGCATCGTGTTCAGCTTCGTTCTGCATCATACTCTAATCAAACAAGAGCTCTTGAGAGTAGTCTTTCTTGTATACTTTGAGCGACATGCGAACCAAGTGGAGCAGAGCGCTTGTTCCGTTGACAAGCCAGCCTCTTTTGGTCTCCTCGTCCCATAAAACAACGTACTTCTTTTCGATCCACATAAGCTTTTGTTCGTATGCGTCGCGAGTGAAGTGAGGGGATATTCGCTTGACCCGTGGAGTGATCGTTGCTCCTGCTGTGAAGACCTTGCCAAGATTGAAAGTGAACTTCTCTAATAGAGCTCCCGCCCGGGGTGGTGGAAGGTCTGTACCCTTGATATCGTAATCGGCATCTTCAGCGCCTGATTTGACCTGTTAGTAATAATTCATTCAACGTCTCCTTCCACCATACTGACCAGCATAGTATGAGCTCTTCCTAGACCAGCCAACTACATGTCGGACGTCATTTATCTGATCAACGCTCATATTGCAAGCTTGTCCTAGCGGCACATCAAGGTACGATATCCTGTTGCCCTCTTCATCAAACGAGAAATGCCAGATCAGCAGGTCATCCAAACGTCTCACGCCGACTAGCATGGTGGAAAAGCCTTTCAGGAAGACCTTCCCTTGGATTCCCAGTACCTGAGGAGCGCCAACCATACCAGCCAGCAGGTCAAGTGACATTTCGAGTCCCAGTTTAGGTTCCGGCTTGCTGAGAATTGGAAATCCACCCACAAGGATTGGGCTAGCAAACATTTTATGCCAGCAGAGCCCTGAACCCTCGATTCCCGCCATGTATGGGGCTTTGACTTCGGAGTCAAATCTACAGAAAATCTTGCCTCGTTGTCTTTGCTCAGATACCTCGACTGGAGGCGGATCGTGCATCAAATAGCACTCTCGAATGAACGGAACACAAAGTGCTATGCCTGTTTTGATTGGTGGCGATTGAAGAGCCGCACCCAGCCAGGCAAGCTGTTGCCCGGCCTCGGCAAGTGATTCACTTGAGCCTACCACATTGACTATCAATTTGGCGTCTTCAATGCGCGCCTGAAATTGCGTCCCGTCTAGTAGACTAGCTGGAAAATCGGATAAGAATACGGGCATTTAGGAAGACCAAAGGTTCACTCACTAGTTGCAATATGTTCCGAATCCTGGCATACAATATCGGTGATTAGTTGCATGACATGCATCCCACTGTCTGGCCAGACTTGGCAAAGATACTCAAGGGCTGTCAAAGCTTGTGCGTCGTTCACAGTTCCAGTAAGCGTGATGGTGTCACCCAATACCTCTTCTGCGTCATCATGAGGCCGCTGATCCTTGAGATAGTGTGGAGGGTTCCAGAGTAACTCAAATGTTGCTTCGTACTCCTGTGACGGGGTTTTCCTACTAACTTTATCGCCATACGAAAGCAGTACCCCTCGGATTCGAGCCCCAATCTGTTCCATGAGGTCAGGACTCGCCCGCTTCAATATCGTTTCTCTTCTCAGTGTATCAACAAGCCATTTGTAAGCCCGAGTTTGTAGTATAAAGTCAAATATCTTGCTTTGTTCTTGGCTCTCATCTTGCTGTTTCTCATCTTGTTCAGGACCCGCGGCTTCAGCATCGATCTGTTGTTCAGGAACATCTTCAAATTCCTCCGTGTCTTTCATGAACCTATCGATGGCGTCCCGGCCAAGTCCCTCGTCAAATTTCACAGGCTCTTCGGGCTGTAACACGTCGTCTATGAGGCATTGGAATGCCTGTTGCACGCTCCTGAGGCCAACGTAAGCATATGGTGAATGCGGCAAGAGTGGGCTGTGATGAACCTACACACGATCTCTTCGAACATAAAACATAACGTCACGGTGCATTGGTGATGAAGCTTGATACCCAACCTTCACAGCGAAGGCCCGAAGCAGATCCGGTAGCGACTGTGAGAGGTGGTCCAGAGCATCCCGGGTCAGCTCAGTGCAGTTGACTACTCCAAACAACTGCTCAGCAAGTTTGCCTGTATATCCCTTACCCCTTAGGGCAGGTGTCGTCAACGTTGCTGATGGCGCATAAACTGTTTTTGCTGAAGACAGCTCTGGCGGAGATATCTTTTGTTCCTCATTTGGCTCATTCAATGCCGAGTCCTGTGTTGCGTGATTCGTGGCATCAGTAACGATCTCAGAGTCTTTACCGGTTGAGCTCCATATCATGTCAGAGAAGTCATAGGTTTGGGAGACTGTGATAGGTAGGGTGGAGGCTTGCGCGAAAGAATGCTTGAGCGATGGAGGCTGCAAGTCTCCTTCTGTAACGTCGTCAAGGAGACCTTCGGCCTTCACTGCTTCCTCCACTATGCGCGACATGGCTACCTCCGCCGGCGATATTACTGATAGTATCTCCTTCGTATACGCTGCCGCCGTCCCAGCCGCGTATGCCTGCCACTGCTTGTTCTTGTGCGAGTCCGCGTAGTCGCATATACCGCGGATGACAAGGCAAGGGAAGCTTCCTGATAGTCCTGCTGCCTCCATCTCGAAGCAGAGAACACCACCAAGCTCTGCGCTAGCCCTGTCTCGCTCCGCCGCATTCTTTATGATCTGGTTTCCCGATGCGATTGTCCCATAGTGAACCACTATCCCTTCTTCGCTGTGATGTGGCTGTCTCGCTTCTTGTCCGTCCACGACCACTATCCCCCCTTCGCTGTGACGTGGCGGCCTTGCTTCTTGTCTGTCCATGCTGCACATATCGCACGTTTTCCCGCCTTCGTGATCATATGTGGCTTCAAAGAGCACATCAGGCCCCGTTTTCATATACCGGAACTGGGGAAGACGCTCAAGTTTAGCAATATGTTCAAAGACCTTGCTTCTACCACGTAGCATCATCGTCCGCGCCCTAACAACTGCTCTGAGCAGCACCTGCGGCGGTGCATTAAGCGACCCTGTCCGTACGAATCCGCTTGCTGTAGTCTTACCAGCGTCATACTGCACTACTCCGCCGCACGTCTTGTCTGGCTGGCTAACTACTACATCCCCAAGTCTGATATCTGCATCTGCGTTAGGCACTCCTCCGCCGATACCAACCATTAGCCCAAATCGAATTCTCTTAAATGTGGCCATCATCTGCGTCGCCATAACTGCCGCAGAGCTGTGACCAATATGTTCTGCCGGTAGGCACATGATCGCGATATTGTGTCCCGCAATAGACCCCAGCAAGTACAGGTTCTTATCATCATTGGATCCATGCTCTAGATCCTGGTGCACTTCGTCCAGCATCTCGTGTGCCGCTGCAAGCTCGATGGGCAGCATGCACAACCATGCCACCGTGTAGTCTTCAGGACGTAGCAGGCGCGCCATCTGCGGTTGTTACGAAAGGAGGCTACCGGAAATGATGTTGTTAGGAAGGTCAGAGACAGTTGTATACAAGTGATGAGATGGGAGCCTAGCAACCCCTCAGTCCCATAGCCTTGCGACGTGCCCACTGCTTGGCTGCATGCTGTCAGTGAGGCGCAGGCAGGCTGAACTGAGCCGTCGATGCTACCACTAGTTGAGCGCCGGGCTGCCGCTGCAGACGCACGGAAACGACTGAGGTCGAACTCAGAATCAAACAGTTCGACCGGAGAAGGCATATAATGTCACTGGTAGTAGAGGTAAGCTGTTTATAGCGAATAGGAGAGGAGAAGCTGTAATCAAAGCTATCCTTAGTAAATAGACGTAGATCTAGCTTAAGCCTTACATTTAACAGAGAATATTAAGGCTTAACTTAAGACGACAGTTTTAGACTTTCAGTAGATGCCAATGTCGGGACTAGACAAGTTAAAGAAGTTATGGCGTTTACCATTAGAGTACCTCATATTGGCGGCTGCAAATGCTCTTAAATGGTCCATCTAGCACCTCGAGGCGCTCGAGTGAAGTCTGATTAGAGTTCGCGGGGCTTGTGCGCCTCGGACTGATGGGTCCCCAAGTCTATGCTGCGTATTTGTATTGTACACGACTTTGCTGGGTCAGCTACTAGTTAAGGGACGCAGACGTGCGGAACAGAAGAACGAGTTCACGCCTCTCGGCTACACGACGGAAAGTATGCACGGCCACCCAAGCATGCAGAGCCTAAGCACAATATGTCTACGTCGATCGCCTACTTGACTGTACCCTTGATGCTGTAATTAAGATGGCAATGAAAGATTATCACCCTTGTAGGGTGACGGGTTGTTGCGTGTAATCATGTGATTTGGTACGCAGTATGCATTATACATCCACTCCTGCAACTTACTGGCACACATGTGTAAGGATTCCTGTCGCGTAGACCGTGCGGTGAGAACAAAGCTGATGAGGAAACCGGAAACTGATTGTGACCGCTACTATACTGCGTGGAATGCTTTGCGAGGTGTCCCACACAATTACGTCCGACCACTTTCACCCCACACGTCTCAAGTAGTTCAGTGAGGGGTATCTCAAACTACCCCACGACAATTCCAGCAAGTCGCATGTGGGGTCACTCCATCACCATATCCGCGCCCAGCAACGACAGCGACTCGCACAATCGGAGAACTTATGGGCCCGGCAAAGATGCGACGTCGGATGTGGGCCTTTGACGGAACGTCTCTGTATCCATTGTTGCAGCGGCACTTGTTACCCCACAAATCCCATTTCCTACTCCCAGGACTCACTGGAAACAGAATTAGTACACAGTCTTCTCTTGCGTGAACATTTCGTCTCTCGCGTTGCCGTTTCTCGAATCCAAAACACAGACTCTGTTGAGTCAATAACTTTGTGCATATTGTATCTCCAGATCCACGAGCAACACCAGGCCAAATCCCCCATTCGACCCGTCCCCAAAAGCAACAATGTCCAAACCCGTAGCCATCGTGACAGGCGCCGGCTCAGGCATCGGAGAAGCAACAGCAACCCACCTGCACTCCTTAGGCTACAAAGTCGTCATCGCCGACCTAAATCCTACCTCAGGCCAACGCGTCGCCTCGGCCCTAGGCAAAGATGCCCTCTTCCACCAAACAGATGTATCATCCTACAAATCGCAAGCGCAGCTCTTCAAACGCGCGTATGAATGGGGCGGCAACCGCCTCGATTTCTGCCATGCCAATGCTGGAATCGACGATCGACAGAATATTCATGAAAGCATGGACAAGGAAGAGGTGGATGAGGAGGGACTGGTTAAGAGGTTGAATACAAAGACTATAGATGTGAATCTTGAGGCTGTGATACAGGGCCTTTGGCTGTTCAAGTATTATGTGAGGAGGAGTAAGGAGGCGGGTGGGGGGAAAGGATATTTTGTTGCCACGAGTAGTGCGGCGGGGTTGTAGTAAGCATTTATTCTTTCTGTTTCGCAAATGTTTGTTCAAGGGCAAAGAACGGACGATACGTAGTCATAGAGCTGGGCTAACGAGAAGAAACATAGCTTCATGCCACAATGCCCCCAGTACACAGCCAGCAAATACGGCGTCGTAGGCTTCGTCCGGGCTTCTGCCCCAAACTTCATCAACGAAAATATCACCGTCAATGCCATTTGTCCGGCCTTCATCCCGACAAACCTCTGTCCCCCAGAAGTAGCGGCGCGCTGGCCAAAAGAGCACATTACCCCGTTGTCGACTGTGCTCAAGGCTATTGACGCTTTTTTGAAGGACGATAAGTTGACGGGCCAGGCGGTAGAGTTATCCCAAGAAAACATCTATTTCAGACAGCCTGTTGATTATGTGAATGAAAGTCAGCGGTGGGTTGGCCTCGAAAGCGACAAGATCTGGAACGAAGGGTACAAGGAGCCACCAAAGAGGAATGGGTATTAAAACAACGTCATGATTTCGTTAATAGATATGGAAAATGATATTATGGAAACCACTCTTCGTAATCCAAAAGTAAGAAAAGAAAATCAATTCTTCTCGAATTTAAAAATCCAACCCTTTTTCTTCTGCCATCCTGCTTTCCTCCCGCATGATACTGGTATGCTTCTCGCTTCGGGGCCGGATATCGCATTTGAACGGCTGAGGCACGCTGAAGAAGCCTGGCTCCATATTCGCATTGACGGGAACTTGACTGCCGTCTTTGCCTTTTTTCGGCGATAGATTAAAACCCCAGAGGACGCGGGATACATTAATGAAGAGAGAGCGTTCAGCAACGTGAACACCAGGGCACGCGCGTCTGCCCGCTCCATAAGAGAAGTGGTCGCGTTCAGAGGGGTCGGCGGTGTTCATGTAGTGTGCTGCGGACGCGGTGTGGTTGAGGTAGCGAGAAGGATCGAAAGCGCTTGGGTTAGACCATAGATCGGGATTGTAGTGTATAGCCCTGTTTGAAACAGTTGCAATCAGTTTCCGTAGTAGTAACACAAGAAGAAGGAGAGACAACTCAAATGTAGTTGGAAAGGGGAAAAATGAACTTACCACCAGTTCAACACGACAACACTTCCCTTCGGGATAAACATGCCTTCATACCAGTCATCCTCACTAGTTGCATGCGGCATCCCGAACTTATTCACAGGCCTCCATCTCATCACCTCCTTTATCACGCTCCGTACATATGGTAGATTGGCTTCGTCTTCCCACTGCGGCAGCCTCTCACTACCAACCACGCGATCTAGCTCCTCCTGCGCGCGCCTCTGCACCTCAGGGAACAACACCATACAAAGCATAAAGTTATTCAGCGTCGTCCCCGTGGTTTCGGAGCCTGCTTCGATAAGGCCGCCGCAAGTATACGCCGCAGCGAGATCATCGATACCCGCTTTGGCGGGATCATTAAGGTAGAAAGTCTTTGTGAAGCAGTCCTTTGCTATGCCGGCGTCGGTCTCCTTCTTGAGCCTGTTCCACAGGTCAACGTAGACAGCGCTATCTTGTTCGAAGACGCGCTGGCCGTAGGATCGCCAGTTTCCCATGAGCGCCTGCGGGACCCATGTCAGGGACGGGAAAGACTCGATGGCCCATGCGCCGGGCGAAGTCATCTCGGTGAAGCGGTCGAGTACGCTGTAGATGCGCTTGATGAGGGGATCGTCCCAGCTGGGGATCCGGTACCCGTATGTTACGCGCATGATGACGCTGGCCGAGTAGCGGCGGTTGATATCCATGAAATCGTTGGGGTCTTGCAGTAGTTCTTTAAGTAGAACTTTGCTTTCAAAGTCTTGTATTACCTGGTAGTTTGTGCTGGTGGATAGGTTGAGTAGGGCGTGGCTGTGCTTGCGGACACTGCGCCAGCGCGGGCCGTAGGGCATGAAGAGTTGACGGCGGCCTGCGGATGCGACATCCTGGGCTAGAGGGGAGGGAGGGCGCGACGAGTAGATGCCGGATTTTCGGTCCATGAGGTCTTTGACTACTTTGGGTGACGATAACCAGATGTAATCTGTGCCTCCAATTTTGGTGTAGTAGATGTCGCCATACTGCGCGCGCCATGCATTGACTGTGTGGCGTATGGCATCGTTGTCTGCGAGATCGAGGAGGGATCCGATAAAGGGGAGACCTTTGGGTCCTGGAGGGAGATGGCGGCGTCGTGGGTCCTATTGTTCTCGCTGCTTAAGTTTTCGTAGTCAAGTATGTGACGTGAGGGTGTTTGTACCTTGATGGAATTTGGGACGATAATGAAGTATATAGCTAAAAGGACGAGGATGGGTACAGCAATGACCAAGGTGACTTTCAGATATAAGGGACTTGCCCAAACACTTCCAAAAACACCCAAAATAGCCATGACAGAAGATAGTATTAATGATTTTGACTATTTCAAACCGAAAGAATGACTTGTTTATTCAACGCCAAACACAGCCTATTCATATTCTTTTCTCGGTCATTCGGCTTCACCGGAGCCACTTGTTGCCCCTCTGAGTGAATCGCGATGTTGCATCGATCCGCGCGTGGGGTAGATGTGTATGATTCCCATTCCCCTGGATTTTCCCCGCATTGCCCCAGCCCCACAAAGTCGCGGCAGGGACGCAGGGTTCCTCTAATCTGACCCATTGTGTATACTATACGACAATTATGCAATTGCACGAGCGGCTGCTTATGAAATTCTCTGAACAGATTTATTCAAAAGTCCTTGTGGGCTTTCCCATATGGTTCGTTTAGATATCCAGTGAAACACTGATTCAACAACATCAAACTACCTGTTCTCCCTACCTAACGATCCTGGCTCCAACTCCGTGTTGATAAAATATCAACAACATCAGCAACAAAAAAAATGACACTTGAGCACTCCTCCTCAGGCCGGACATACATCCTCCATGCCAACGGCCAAAAGTCCCACTACGTCCTCAATGACTTCACTGACCCCTGGAAGCCCCACGAAACAATTCTTATCCAACACGGATTCGGCCGCCACTCAGCATTCTGGTACCACTGGATCCCAGCGCTATCCCGCCACTACCGGGTTGTAAGACGAGATCTGCGAGGACACGGGTACTCTAGTTATCCCGGGCAAAAACAAACCGTCTCATCAACTGAAAACGGAATTGTTGAGAATGATAAAAAAGAAGAAAAGGACTACGTATATAATGTCGACACGATCATCGGGGAGATAATAGATACGCTAGATCAACTTGGATTGCAAAAAGTGCATTTTCTGGGAGAATCAACGTCGGGAATATTGGGTGAGATACTTGCTGCAAGGCATCCAGAGCGGTTGCTCAGTTTGACTGTATGCTCGTCGCCCACGCATTTGCCGCCGCCTGCGCTGCAGATGTTTGCTTTCGGCCACAAAGATTGGCCTACTGCGTGTCGACAGCTAGGGGCGCGCGGGTGGACTGAAGCGCTGGCGCGGGTACCGGGCACGATTCCCATTTCAGATAGTGAGTATTTGCCATGGTATCTGGGGCAAGTGGAGGTTAGCGATGGTGAAGGGTTGGCGCAGTATGCGGAGTTTTTGTCTACGCTGGATGCGAGGCCGTGGTTAGAGAGGATTAAGGTATCGACACTGATATTGAGTCCAACACACAGTGCGGCTATCAAGGTTGAGGATATGAAGGCTCTCAGAGACACGATTCCGGGAAGTCAGTTGGTACCGATATCCGAACCTGGGCATGAGATTTATGTGACAGCAGCGGAAGAGTGTCAGCAAGCGTTTCTGGGCTTCTTGGAAGGGTTGAAGAAGAAGAATCACATTGCTAAGCTAAGTTAACATGGTTTTTTATTACTAATTGACTATCTCATAATACAATAAGCACGTCCAAGACAAGCTAAAGAAGAACTTTTCCAGTCCTTTCATAATCAAAGTCGCCCACCTTTGCAATCAACGCCGATTATGCAACCGTGAGTGGGTCTTTTTCGCCATCTCCAATGCGCCGCCATAAGAAAGAAAAAAAAATATGATACACAATGCAGACAAATAATTACACGAGCCATGAAAGAATATAGACAATGTCACATCTTGAGGCTCAAGCATGTCGGGATTCTTGTTCTCGTCGTTCATTCATGTCGAGGGCGATCTTCTTGCTGAACTCGTAGCAACTGATCATGATGGCACAGGCCGGGGCGATTTTCAGACAACGAGCAGCCCAGCCCTTGAACAGGCCAGGCATGCCTTGTTCGCGATAGATGTGCATCAGGAAGCGTGGTATTGACTTGTCCTCTGGGCGTGCTCTGGCGGCATCGCGCACGCTGTCTCCCATATGGCGCACGACTTGCTGCCGGGTCTTTCCAACGTCAAAGGGCGTTGTGACAAAGGCGGCAACTGCTCCTGAGGTAGCACCTGCGACAAAGCTATCCACCAGGGTATCGCGGTGATTTTCCTGGCTTCTTGATCGGCTTCTTCTTCGTACTCTTTCTTCGCCTCGGCCCATGCGGAACTCGAACCCGTCGTCTCTTGCAGCTCTCCTTCCTCTTTGGTCTGTTAAAGTATTCCTTGTAGTCTCATAGCCCCACCAATAAATGGCAGAAAAGGGCACGTCGCGCCAAAGGGTCAAAGTGAGTCCTCTCCAGAGGCTGAAGACACCTTGGCTGGCGACCATGTTCCTGAGGCCGTCCAATGTCTCACGGAAGTGTCCAGCAGCGGTTGCCGGATGGTTTGCGGCCTGCATTCTTGTTCGAAACATTTCAATGGGACTGACGGCGATGGCGGCCAGGACGCGGGCAGTGGCTCCAGCGACGAGGGGTATATAGGGATCGGCTATGTTCTGGCGCAATGGTGATGCACTGGCTGTGCGTAGCCAATCGTATCCGGCAAAGTAGATGACGTTTGCTGGAACAGTCATGACCAGAGTCGGAGACAGTCCCCGCCAGAGTGTGCGGGGCCCCTCGTTCTGCGCAATCTTGCGCAGGCCGTCCCATGTGCTGTTGATGGTTCTCCGTTCCACCTCTTCTACGGCGCAGTGTAAATCAGCGGGGTTGATGGGTGCCATTGTAGGTCCGGCTACACAGAAAGGTGCTTTGTTGTTGACCCAAAAGACTTCTCGACAACATGCCGATATGCCGAGGTTGGGAGGTAGATCGCGAAACTGTGTTAGTGATGGGCCAGTGGCTCCGCTGGGTCGTGAGAAGGCAGCGCTCGGGGTGGCCTCTTGTGATTGTAATCGCACACGGACGACATCGAGGGGTGTTACTGGCAGGGTTAGAGGGAATGCTTGCGAGAGGAGTACCCGAATGTGCAGGCGGGCAAAGAGGACATACCTAGCAACGAAGTGAGCAGACTGCCGGAGACAGCAGACAGCATCTTCTGGCCCAGCGAGACTTCAGTGGCCGGGTTGGCGTCGGCCTCGTGGGCTCGCGCTGTGGCCGCAGCCATTGTGGTGGTGGTGGTAGTGGTGAAGGTGGCGGGTTGATGTTGAGTATGGAAATTGATAAGCAAGTAGTTATTGACCGAATGGAAAGGTAGGCGAGTGGCGGAGTGCGTGCTTGTCCCGGCAGAGGGGACGTGTTAGCCGGAAGCCGCACAGTTGGAGGATTGGAGATGCCAGGAGCAGGCGAGGGGCGTGGAGGGCATCGTCTCGTGCAGTGATGGCGGCCTACGAGTGGTGACGATGGCGAGGGGACGCTTTGACGCAACAAAAGTGAATTATCGGACCTGCAGGCTTTTGGCGCGTCATGGCCGAGCCCCGCGCTCGCCCGCTCATTGGTCCGCAGGCCGAACCGGCGCAGGAGACAGGCCGAAAGGGCGTGGAGCTTATCAGATGCAGATGGCCGGCCTACCATGGTGCACACTAACCATCGGGTGGCGCCCGTCAGTGTATCGTCGACGTCTGCGAACGCCCTTTGCCCATCAAACGCCCTTGCACGGCTGTGTGCCCGGACTACTTCATTTGATCCGTGCCGTGCTTGAAATACAGGTTCTTGGTACCCTCGTGCTGCTAGGTTCCTCACATACTACACACTACATTTGTATGTACTCAACCCCTTGCGTACATCCTGTACTGCCATTGTACACACCCGCCCGCCGTATCCACCGTAACTGCAAGTCCCGTGACCACGTGCGACTTCGGATATCCCGTATCTAACCGCTACCCACCACGCCCCGGCGGCCAACAAAGTACACCATGGATCCTAACAACGTACCCACAAACACCGAGGCCGAGTTGGAGTCCTTCCGTCGGAAATGGAGAGAAGAGGTCACCGCCCGCTCAAAGGCCCAGGCGCCTGCTGCATCATCGAGCAAGCCCCGTCCAACCAAGGCCAACCCAACACAGGCTCAGTCTCACGCCCACTCACACGCTCGTAAATTAAGTCTAGAGGGCGGCGACGAGGTTCAATCTTACATATACCACAATCTCGACGACAAGCAGCATGGCCGGAGACTGGATGAAACACCCGCTCAGACCGCTGCCGCTCTTGCAAAAGGCAAAGAACCTACCTCTGCTCTGGAGCATTATGAGAAGGCTGTAGAAAAGGAGAGCCAGGGCAATCTGGGGGAAAGTGTAGACTTGTATAGAAAGGCTTTCAAGGTGGGTTGCATTTTTATTGTTGTGTTTCAACTTCTCAGCTGACTCTCTGCAGCTCGACTCTAGAGTACAGGATGTATACAAAGCAAAACATTATCCACCATCCTACTTCAAGAAACTTCAAGTACAACATATACCTGCTGCTTCATCTTCATCGACAGCCCCAGCACCGGTGTCGAAACCACAGGACCCAAATCCCTCCAATGCCTCGGTCACGGTACCAAACACCGCCCACCACTCCCTTCATGGCCTTTCCTCTTCTTTGCAGACCTTAATCAGCGGATACTCGCAAACCTCTATTCTTGGCGAGCCTCCGCCAACAGATCTCAGCCCCACACCACCATGTCCCATCGCCAGCATTCCCGAGGAAATAGTCGTCGAGATTCTCGAGCAGCTCGCCGTGCAGGATCTCGCCTCATTTGTCCGCCTATCCCAAGTATGCAAACGCCTCGCCTACTTGGTACTGACCGAAGACCGAGTCTGGAAACGTCTAGCCCTGGGTGATGAGTACGGCTTTGGGGGCATGCACTACACCTATACCTGTGGCATTGACGGCAAACCGCTCGAAGACGAAGAGGGCATCATCCTGGGCACCTCCAACCTCAATCTCTCAGACTCAGACGATACGGAACAGTTCACTCCAGACCCAGACCCTTCTCCCGCAGCACTAACCCAGCTCCTGGTTCCCTCACCATACCCCAGCTACCGCACGCTGTTCCGCCAGCGACCCCGCATCCGTTTCAACGGGTGCTACATCAGTACAGTCAACTACGCGCGCCCCGGCCAGGCCCAACCGACAACCTCAACCTGGAACTCGCCCATCCACATTGTCACCTACTTCCGCTACCTACGTTTCCTCCGCGACGGAACCTGCATCTCGCTGCTGACCACCTCGGAACCTCCAGACGTAGTACCTTATCTGTACATTGAGCACCTGCACAAAAACCATCATAATCTCCCCACCGCCCCCATGAAAGACGCCGTCCTTGGCCGTTGGCGCCTCAGTGGCCCGGAAATCCCCTTGACGCCCGGCGAAGAGGCTCTGGACGTGGAGACTGAAAAGGAAGGAACTTTGCATATTGAGACGCCTGGCGCAACACCCAAATACATATATAGAATGGCCCTCACCGTCGGCAGTGCCGGCAAGAACGCAAAGATCAACAGACTTGTCTGGCAGGGTTACTGGAGCTACAACCGCTTGACGGACGATTGGGCAGAGTTTGGCTTGAAGAACGATCGCGCCTATTATTTCAGTAGAGTCAAGAGCTATGGCATGAGCTGGGATGAAAGGGGTATCAAGCCCTATTAGTACACACACTGACTGCCTCTTATTGCACGGCACTGCATTGCATAGAATAGACAAAGAGCATAAGAACACCAGCGGGCATCTCTTGCTAGGATAAGCTCTTGGATGGATTTCATCATGTAGATTTTGTCATCTTGTCGTCGTCGTCGTCTTTGGGCATTATTCATAGACAGCCGGGCTTCACAAATCGCACACCTTTCAGCATTCCTCTATCATGGTATACATTGTCTCTCTGTCCCCTTCAACCATTTACCGTCGGGGCATGCCACGGCCACGGCCTCGACCACCCCCACCGAGTGCCCTTTGTGCCGCACCGGGCGGAAGTGGCTTGTTGGGTGCTTGTGGTTGCTGTGATTCTTGGTTCTCTGTACACAAGTTAGTGTCCACTTCTTCATCACTCAATTCTCCAATATCTTACTAATTGTCTCGTCAACGCTCAGAATCAAACAGGCTGCTTCCGTCGCTGCCTGCAGAGCGTTGATCTTGACCAGGCTCGGCTCCCACACAAACCTTTCCATGTTGTTCGCTATGCTCTCAGTAGTAAAGTCGACACCGGCCCAGATGTTGCCCTTCTTGTGCTCCACACGTAGTCGGTTGAGAATATCCGTCGCATCCACGCCGGCATTGTCGCACAGTTGTCGGGGAATAACCTCCAGAGCCTTTGCGAATGCCTTGATAATCGGTTGCTGCTTGTGGGGAATGTTGCTGTCGGCATAGTTGTGGAGGTAGGAAGAAATCTCCATCTCGACTGCGCCTCCTCCAGCAACAATGTTGCGGTTCTTGATCGCACGCTTGACAATCATGATGGCGTCGTGCAAACTTCTCTCCACCTCGGCGATGAACTGTTCTGCGCCACCACGGAGCACCAGTGTGCAAGTCTTGGCCTCAGGGCAGCCTTCAAAGAAGTTGAAGCGCTCGCCACCAATCTGTCGCTCTTCAAACAGCTCGCAGCTTCCGAGGTGCTTGCTCTGGATGTCGGAGCAGGTCGACTGGACGCTGGCGCCTGTTGCTCGGCATACGCGGTCAAGGTCGTCAGCCGATACTCGTCCAGCACAGAAGATGTCGCGGTCCGCAAAGTACTGTGTTGCCAAATCGCCAATGGGCAGCTTGCTCAGAACCACCTTGGCGCCTGTCTTGTAAAGTGCCTCCATCTTGTTGTAGATAATTTGCCATTCCGCATCCACAATTGCCTGGTATTCCGAGACCTGTTCCACCCGTACCTCTGCATTGTCCTTTTCGCTCTTCAGCTCGAGTTCGACGTTCAGGCATACGATCTTGGGTTGCGTGAATTTCTTGGGTTGCTGCTCGAAACCGGCGTACGAGAAGGTCTTCTTGAATGCGACACCGTTGACAAAGAGGGAGTCCTGGAGAGCACCACCAGTAATCTTCTTGATTCCAATGAGCTTCTCGTTTAGCTCCTCCTGGTCGAGCGAGAGCACGGCATCCACAACCATCTTTGTGAAGAAGTCTGCGTTCCTGTGGATGAGCTTGCTGCTCATGGCGGTAGCAGCAAGCTTCTGGAGTGTATCCCGTTGGTTGCCCTCGGCTGTGTCCACGGCGATCTCCATGATTTTGTTGACAGCGAGATGTGACGCTCTCCGCAGGCCCTTCATGATGATCTGGCTGCTGACTCCCTGCTCAACAAAGTCCTTGATCTCCTTCAGAATCTCTCCTGCCAACACAACGACTGATGTGGTACCATCGCCAACTTCGGCGTCTTGCGATCGTGCGATGTCGGTGAGGATGCGGGCAGCGGGGTGAACGATGTCGAGGAGCTGTATACTGTTAGGTCAGGCTCTAGCAACGGGCTTACATTGCTTGTCTACCTTCATGACTGTGGCACCATCGTTGGTGATTGTTTGCCGGCCATTCTCGTCAACCATGAGCAGGTCACCACCATAGGGACCCAACGTGCCCTTGATTGTTGCCTGTACAGCAAGACAAGCATTGATGTTTGAAATGACCTGCCCCCGACCCTGCGATTGATCGGTGCCTGCAATTGTTAGCGACACATGTATGAAAAGTTCACAAGCACCCACCCTCCCGCAGCACCACAATAGTGGGTGTCTGGCCGCCAAAAGACATGTTGACGGAAGCGAAAAACACAAAAACTCAAAGGGGAGTCGTCGAAGGCTTTGCAAGGGGAACAAAGCTGGCGGTATGGTGTGAGGGGTACGGTCAAGCTATGCGCACCTGTATCTTGTTCCCCGCAGACGCGTCCCATGAATTTTCCCAGGGCACGTCTCTTTTTGCCAAGACAGCCGGACCGTGCGTGGCCTGGCTTCCACTGCCTACCTCCAGCCTTCTACTGCCCTTCCATGCATTGTACCACAATTACGCCGTCACCTGTCTCCAAGGCCCCCGCTACCGTGTTGCGTCGTCGTTACAGTGTACGCACTCTTGCTGCCCTGATCCATAGTGACATTCTCAACGGCCCCTCGTGACCTCGTGACCGCTATTTCGATTGATGAGTGCGATCTGAACTGCCTTTGTCTCCCCTGCTCCTGGGAGCATTGTTTGTGAGCATCAGTAGTACCAACATGCCATCCAAGACATTTGCCAAAAAGGTCTGGTCATGTTGTAGATGCACTTTTTAGTCGTACTAACGCGGTGTACAGATGGCGCCTACACCGACATCCACAGACGATATCCGCCTACGGTGTATGGCACGTCCTTCAAAAGAGTCTGTAGAAAAGCAATTATCCATACCAGAGACCATTTCGCCTTTGGACAACTACCCTCCATTGCTTCGCATTCCATCCGAAATCCGGAGAGAGATTTTCAGATATGTCTTGCCATCGTCAAACAAACGTTTCATCTTGTACACCGATTGCGACTCGAGGTCCATCAGCCGGAAATGGAATAAGATCTGCCGTCCCCATCCCGACCCACACCTGACTCTCGACATCTTACGAACAAACCGACTTATCTACCACGAATGCCTCTCAGTACTCTATTCCGAGAACCAATTCCATTTTTATGCATTCAACTATCTGCCTGTTTTGGACTTTATACGCCATCTGAGTCCCGAGGCAAAGAACCAGGTGCGCAACGTGCGACTCACACCTTTGACGGATAAGCAAGATGACCCACCAGCATCACACGACGTCTTCTGTACTGTCATACACGATTCATTACCCGGGCTCAGCCAACTTCAAGCCGATCCGGTAGTTTTCTTCTAGGAGATTGGCTTCTGTTCGTTCTTCAGGCCACACTTCTTCTTCTCTTCTTTTATCCGAGTATATAGACGGGCAGATGCGCATCAGTGTTGGATACACATGCAGCGCATCTACGAACTTGCCCACGAATTGATCTTCACATGGCGATCATCTTCGCCTTCGCAAATGTGTGCGTCATTTACCACATCTCATGCCCAATGGCCTCGAATTTTCCGATGTTCAATGGCTGCATATTAGGAAACATGGCTTATGATTTGTAATGGTGCAGCTATGAGGGTATTTTGGCATAACAGCTAGTAATATTTTGTTTTAGTCATCGCTTTCATGACGCTGTGGCAGGCAATTCGGTTCGTTGAATACCTGTAGTAGCGGGCTGATAGCAAAGTACTTGCGCCACTATCAACCCTATCTTCTGATTCACATTCATCATCAACCAACCTCAGGAGTTATGTGACGATCCGATTGAGGTACTAAGTTCTAATATCCTGTAGCTACGCATGCCGCATGCGTCTCAACTTTGGAGCCTTTATTATTGATTCAGAACAATCGGTGTTCGACACCGCTTCGGAGTACTCGACCTGCATATCTTATTCCGACGCCAGTCCCAGACCGTGAGCACGTATTGGCTTTCCATGCTGACATACCGGTTACATCGACGTCACCCCGCTTCTTGAGTACGGGAACAAATTACTCTTTTGGTGCTAAGCTCAGCCAGTGCACTGGCTATCTTGCAGAGAGCATGATTGCAAGTTCCGACAAAGCTCACTGGAGGAACTTACTCAATGCAACAATATTGGGAAGATTTGTAATATGCTAGTTGATAGTATTTAGAGAACTCTTCTTCCCGATGAAAGCTTTTCATATCACAACTTCGAAAACACTAGACGAACTCGCTTTAATATGGCCACAAGATCCGAAACTGCATCTGTGACTGCAGCTGCGACCGCGGATAACTTGTCTGAGATAGAGCTCGAGCCAAGTTCACGATGGAATGAAGTGTCCGGAAACGAACATTTGCTGCCACAAGCTGATGGTGGTAAGGACGCTTGGCTGTTCTTAGCAGCGGCATTCGCAATCGAAATTATGGTCTGGGGTAAGTTCTTTTCAAGATAAGGATGACACCGTCTTTCTTGCACTGGTAGCCATAGCTTGAGAGGACATTTAAATAACATTAGCTAGGCTTTCCCTGGTCATATGGCATCTTTCAAGAATACTACAGCACATCTGAAAACTTCTCTGGTGCTTCCGGTATCCCGGCTGTCGGCACTTCCGCAATGGGTATCCTTTATCTGTCTCTGCCCTTCACCTTTGGATCCTTGATACGGTGGCCACAATACAAAAGAACAATAATGGTTTGTGGACTATTACTCATGTGCATCGCACTCGGATTAAGCTCATTGTGCAACACCGTACCGCAACTTATTGTGACCCAAGGCATCCTTTACGGCATCGGCGGAGCAGTGGCATACAGCCCCACTATAACCTTTCTCGATGAATGGTTCGTAAGAAGGAAAGGTCTGGCGTTCGGTATAATGTGGTCCGGTACAGGATTGGGAGGCGTGGTTGTTCCTCTGTTGTTACAATGGCTCCTAAACAGTTACGGCTTTCGGACCGCGCTACGCGTATGGGCGATTGCGCTCTTTACAATTACCCTTCCCTTGACATACTTCCTCAAACCACGTCTCCCTGTTCCTGCGAACAGCCGCGCAAAGATCACCCTAACATTCTTGTCAAGCAAAGCCTTCTGGATTCTTGAATCTGGCAACGTCATGCAAGCTCTCGGCTTCTTCGTACCTTCCATCTACTTACCGACTTATACCAAGGCTCTAGGATTCGACAATACCATGTCTACAGTACCTGTCATTCTTATCAATATCGCTGCTGTTATCGGCTCAATCACTATGGGAACAATTGTGGACCGCACGCATGTCACAACCGCTATTCTCATCTCTACTATCGGTGCCGTCCTATCTATCTTCCTGATTTGGGGGTTCAGCACTTCATTGCCGCCTTTGCTCATCTTCTGCTTCATGTATGGACTGTTTGCGGGGAGTTTCGCCAATACTTGGCCAGGAATCATGAGGACAGTGCAGCAAAATACTGGACAAATGGAAAGCTCCATGGTGTTTTCATTCCTATCTTTGGGGCGAGGTATCGGGAACATGGCCAGCGGTCCGGTTAGTGAGGCGTTGATGAAAGCAGGCAACGTTGGTGGGTTTGGCCTGTATGGGACACAGTATGGAGGTCTGATCATCTGGACTGGGGTCAGTGCTGCGCTCGGAGGCATTAGCATCATTGGGCGAAGGATTGGGTGGTTATGAAAAGCGGCATGCATGTTCAAATAACTGACTCCATGTTGTGGCAGCGAGTTAAATTTATGGCCGCATGGTTTTTATAGTGAAGTTGTCTTGACTTTATGTTTTTATTCATTAGTAGTGTCTACAAATTGATACATAACCTGTTGCCAAAATCATTGAAGGTACCATTTCTAAGTTATGGAGCGACACCAGATGTTGCGGCCTTTTGGAACATGCGATGAAAGCCCGAGGGTTGACAATACTAGCAAAAAGGCGGCCAAGGAAGCGAATTGTCAGAGTCGTGAACATAGACCAAGGTTGTGCGAATCACCGAACAGGATTGGTATAGTAACATTTGCGAATATACGAACACTTACAGCGCACATGATGTTGTCTGACAACATGGGTGGACTAACAACATACCCTTATTAGAAATCGCCGTCTGGTCATCCATGACTTCTAATTTATCGGAAAGATAGCTTTACAACATCCTTTTGACTGTTTACTGGCCACAATAGGCATGGTTCAATACTACACGCGATATCTGTTGTGTATGAACGGGCTGGATGAAGAGTGTAGATTTCTACGCGTGTGGGGCTCACTGTGGGTCCTTCACGTACCAGGGGACATATCTGGTCTTCCGTATGACCCTGGAAAATGCGCGTGAAAGGGTGAAAAGGCTTTTCTAAACTTACTCACCGCAAAACAAGCTTTCTCGGCGTTACTGACAGAACGTCACTACCAAGGATCGTGATCAGTCTGGGGTCAAATTTCAAGGACCCTATATTGGCTTTCTTCATCGCGTGGATATGGATAAGGACGGAATGATATATTAAGCGTTTCCAGCGACAGAGTCGCTGGTGGCTGAAAGCCAAAGGAACGGTCTCGTCATAGTTCCTGTTTTCAGACCAGTAGTAGTAAGAAAGAGATGGTCCGTTCACCATGACACGAGATGGGAAAGCAACCCTGAAATATTCGCGGGACATGGCCACGAATGCTCTCGACTGTAATCAAGCTGCCTGGCATGATCATACACGTTATACAGAAGCATTACACCTAACAAACATATTCTTAGGACTGGTTGGCTTCGATTGCCATACCGTTTCCTGTTAATCGAGGCACGCCAGGGCATAATGTACGGGAGTAGTAGTAGCTTGCGCGGTACCTGTGCCGGAAACTAGTTTTAGCTCAATACATGTCAGCTACGTGGGGAGATCTCCGCACCGGCAGGTACCGGCAAATATTACCTTACGTGAGGCTACTGGGAGCACAAGAGTTTGTGCATCAAGGCCGAGAATAAACGAATGCTTATTCTACTTGCCATGGGAGGGTATGGGAAGCATGACATAAAGGAGCATTCCATTGTCCTCCGAGAAAGTCACCACACCGCAACTTCTCCAACCATCTAATCATCGAATTCCAACCAAGTTCAATACTATCATTCCCTCAACCCAAACCATCAACATGAAGTTCACTGCGGTCGCTCTCTTTGCAGGCCTTGCCTCTGCCCAGCAAGTCGTCACCCTCTTCGATGCTGTTTACAGCGTGGTCGAAGACGCGAGATCGTACCAAATCGACATCGACCTACCCACCGTCGTCAACTGCGCTGCCGAGGAATGGGCCATCGGCGACCGATTCACCTGCTCTGACGCGTCCTGGGCTCTGCAGATTAACGACGAGTATGGCGTTTCTATCAGGATCGATCACATCGTAGACGGGTAAGATACTCCCCTCTCAGCCCAACCTTCACAGCTTGCTTTGTTTACTGACTCTCGTCTTTTTTCAAGTGTAACATACTGCGCTGATGCTGCGATTGAGTTCACCGGAGCCATTCCTGTTTATCAAATCCAGGCTTCCAACATCACTGTTACTCTCGAGCCAGTCTACTAAGGGAATTTCTTCTCCAGGGAAGAAAATTTAGATGAAGATGCGGTTTGAATGCACAAAATAACACATCGATAGAGCATAGCCAATGGACCATGAAATGTGCATTGTGTACAAAATAACATGAATGAAGAATTTACATGAAACATGACATCGACTCCTTTTGTTTGTCATGACTAAGATCATAGTGAATTCTGCCTTGGAATCAAGCCGACATATACTTATGTATGATGAAGTTGCTTTACATCCTAAATACAACACAGGACAGACTGTCTCATCATTCCATCAGCTGAGCAAATCCGGTTGATCATTACCGGTATTGCATGCTGGATTGGTCAAGCACCATCGATGTGGTGTTTCCTGGTCAGAGTGGTGCTATGGTGAAAAATCTTTAAGAAATATCCTGGATGCATGTCCGCTCATGCCTAGGATAACCAAAATATGTTGCTGTTGAATTTATGGTAGCCAGAATCTGCAAACAAAAGTGTACGAACAGCGAGAGTAATGGAGCTGCGTGGCAAATGACCTGACGGACCCAAGTATGAAGTCTTCCCCATCCTCATTCTCATATCCCTTTCAAGCCTTTCGTTTACGGAGCCCTTCTCTTCTCGGCCCCCGGTCAGTGCTTGGTTTTTGCACCCGATCACTTTCGCCGGGCGTAGTTTTCCGGCTCGCTTTGGCTGTGGTGCTACTACCTGGGCGACGGCCAGTGGCGAGTGTTTGGACTACAGCATCTATCCGTTTTGTCCGCCCCATTTGCGTCCCCGTCTCTATTCTTAACAGGGTTGGGAACTGCTCGCTCTTGTTCATGCTCTCCCAAACTGTTTTAGCAGCTGGTACCTTTGCGAGCGCAATCTTGAAATCCTCAGGTACTACAATTGTGGCTGGGCCTGCGTATGCGCGGTCCCATCTCCCGTCGGCCTTTGCAGCATCGACCGTAGCCAGCCCTGCAGGTCGCATGCGGCCCTCTTCGATAAGGCGCGCTACCGTGCCTACATTCTTCTTGGACCAGATACTCTTTGCGCGACGAGGTGTATAGCGAATCTTCCACCAAGTATCGTCAATGGAGTTTGCACGGCCATCGATCCAGCCATAGCATAGCGCAACCTCGACGGCTTCAGCTGCGGTAATAGAGGGTATGCCAGAGCTCTTTTTCGCGAGTTTTACGAAAATGCCTGGAGCGTTTGTATGCTCGCGGTCGAGAAATGCTTCGAAGTCAGCTGGTGTAGCGAAGGCCTGTGTAGGGAATTTAGAGTCTTGAGATTGAGTGGCCATGGCTGTGAGCGGGTGCGCGTAGATGTGGAGGTGCACCAAGGGAGCACATGCAAGCCGTCGTTGTTTGCAGGTCAAGGCTATTGGAGGAATTACGAAGTTCACTCTTTTTGGTAGCAGAAACATGCACAACTTTGTGTCGGAAAACCTAATGGGTAATGAGTGCGGAGACATTCATTGTGTTAAAGGAGGCTAAGGTTGCGGTGGAAGAGCGTGTCGGGCGCCCTACTATCACGTGAGGCCGTCAAGAGCCCCCGATAGATAGCCACAGTTTGGAGAGAGACACCACTGTCTCAGTTTCCACCAACTCTAATACGTCAATCTCACGATAAAAAATATAAAAGTCTGCTCCTTTCCTCTTTGTAAGAATTAGATCGGATGTGACCAACACCATGTAGTTTAGGCGAGTATCTCTGTTGAACCAAGAATGAGGTTCCCAAATACCTCATTCAAGATATACAACGATGCAACACACTGTCACTAGTTTTATTTTATTTTTGCAAGTCGTCATGGCTTGCAAAACAGGGCTGGAAAACTTGTTCACCTTCCGTGTGGATTGCTCACACTTTTGCCGAAGACACGATATTCACTCCTGGGTACTTGGGCACACAAAGGCGAGGAATGGAGTTCGGCCCACAAAAACGAAGGAGAGACATGGGTGTCGTGAAGCTGCCATGCCCGTCCATGGAAGGTTGGATCGAGGCACACGCATGACCAAAGATAGATTCAGCTCTATTTCGAAGAGCAAGTACCTAAACGCCGGTCGCTATGCAAGTGGTCTGTTTGAGATGTCCCAGGAGGTTGACCATGTCAGACAATGAAGTCTTTTTCGTCTTTCCTGGGCCCCAAACCTTTCTTTACACCATCTTTCAATACATCCCAGTTCACACCATCCAATCTCCGTCCACGAGTAGCTACATCAGAAGCGACATCTGCGAGCTTGCCTGTAGCGATTCTGCGCATCATCACGAAATCTTGGGCGTTTGGAAATGTCCGCCCCCTGCCCTCGGTGAGAAATTTCTCAATGAGCTCCTCTTCTTCCTCACTAAAAGGTAGGCTAACCAGCTCATAGGCCTTAGCATCTCGCGTGTACACATCGTGTTCTGAACGATCTGCCCACGCATTGTGGTCCAGCGTCTCCTCGATAAGGATCTCGAGAAGTGGCTTCTGCTCGAATTCGGGTCTGTTGTGGATCCAATCGTACATATCGGTGACATTACGACCAGCAAGATACTTTGCGAATTCGACTCGTGTCTTTTCATCCTCTAGCGGTGGCTTAACACAGTTGTAATATGCAAGTGCCAGTACGTCGTCTTTGGGACCACCTCCCATACCCAGACTGCTCAACTTGTCTCCCCCAGTTAGCAGAGTGTGCATAATCTCGTCTGGAAATGTCGGTATTATGCTCGGATGCGTCAAGTGCCCAACCGCAGTTGAGAACTGAAGGTGATCGAGAAACCACAGCCCTTCAACAAATGTCCAGAACCTTTTCTCGAGATGCACGTCCTTAGCGAATGCCTCCGAAAGTTCTGTTGTGTCATGATGTTGTGGCGATAGGTCTTTGAGCAGATAGAAGACGAGGCAATGTTTGTTGTGTAATGTTGTCTCGGCGGAGATGATGCGCTGATGGAGATCCTGGAGTTGTTGCGGGGATTTGGGCGGATACAGCTTGCTTCCTATATCACCTGGTCAGTGTTTACTCAGGGTAAGTTTGTGTAGAGCCTTACCTTTGATCTGGAGGAGGACTAGCAACCGCTCAAAGTATGTGCGACCACCAAGGGCAGTTCGATATGACTGAATTTCTTGTACGAGGCCCTCATTGTAGTTAAGGCCACGATAGACTGCGTCAAAATCTTCAATGTCAAGCATTTCTGCGATGGGCTACAGTCCGGGCTGGTTTGCTTCGCGCCGGGGTTGGTGGTGGACGTGTTGTCGTCGGCGCACCCAAGATGCAGGGCACGCGTTGTCACGTGAAGGCTGCCTTGGCGTCCAGAGCACAAATACACAGCAGTCAGTGCACACCACTGTATTTTCAGACATCATCTATTCTGGCCATGGAATCATTCCATCACTTGGCACAAAAAACAATCGTAGCACGATATGATACGCAACTTTCAAATCGACACATGCAATGAACGTCGAAGATAGACCGCGACATCGCCAGCGACTGCGAATCGCATGTGATTCCTGTCGAGAGCGTAAAAGAAAATGTGATGGAGGACGACCTTGCAATATGTGCCTTGGTTATGGGTACGACTGCTCCTATCGTTCAACACCCCGCAGCCGGCAATCACAAAGACGCGCAGTCCGGCCCCAGAGCATAGTGGTACAGGAAGCAAGCCCAACACCTGCTGCAGGGACTTCGTCACTACACTTAGATGATCACCAGCCGGCCCAGCCAGTCCAGCCGACCCAGCGACTTCAGCAGCAAGTTTCAGAGAATCATGACCCGCAAGAATTAGGCAATGGCCACCAGCATTCACCCGCATACCTGCGATCCGTCGAAAGCAACTCTGGAGCGGCTTTTGCACGCCTGCTTACGGTGGCACTCGAATCATCTGATCAGAGTGCTTCTCCAATGCGAATGCTCGCATGGAACTTGTTTCTTGGAGAAAGACAAGCAGCGATACCGGTACAGCAGGAGGCTCTCACAGACATTCTATCAGAACCAGAGATGCGACATCTAGCTAGCATCTATTTTGAAAAGTTTCATCCATGTTATAGCTTCATTGACAAGGATATGCTGCTCCAGAGTATATCCGACAATTGGAATCAGCAAAAAACACACGATGCCTTAGAAGCTCTTCTGAGTGGTGTCGGTGCCCTCGCACTTCTGTTTTCGAATACTCAAGACGTGGAAACTGAATCGAGACTCGCTTCACTTGCTAAACGTCTGCTGGACCCATCATGTGCTGATCCTCCATCACTATATAGTGCTACTGCGTGGGTGCTTCGCACTGCATACTTACGGGTTACAGCAAAGCCAGAAGAGGCATGGTTAGCAAGCTGCAGCGCTCTCCACATCATTGATGCTGCAGGGCTGATCCACTGTACCAGCCGGAGTAGTGCCTTCATCACATCTCAAGACCCAGTCAGTATCCATCTTCGGAAAAGGGTGATTGGCGTAGCACAACACCTGAACATATGGATGTCATATGACCTAGGTCGGAGTCGTGTGTCTCTGCCTAACTTTGACAATACCCCGCTGACTCCGCAAGCCGGGGAATACACAGTGGAATTGCTGGATCTCCTGCCATACTCACAGGACCTGGACCCGACTAACGAACTAAGTGTGGACCGGCTTGTTAAAGCATTGGTGAACGTCTTGGAGCGAACACATAGCGAACCACCATCTGTACTTGCACAGTGCAACTTGATGCTGTGCATTCATCGTAGACTTCATGCCTCGAAGCTCGAGATATCTGAGAACCTCATGGCCAAGGTCCTCGGTTTGATTCAAAAAAGTATACAGGCTGTTCGATCCAACATTGCAGCACACCTTCCCTGGCACCACGTAGCCAACATACCGTTTCAGACAGTTTGCACACTCCTCGTTATCGATACTGCACAGTCTTTTACACTTTTGTCTGAGGCCCTGGCTTGTGTCATCGCCGTGAATGAAGCGTACCCAACTGAGGCGACACGAGAAGCTGCTGTTGCTGCATGTACGCTGCTCCGGCTGCACCGAAGGCGAAGGGAAGCAGAGATCAAGAAGCACTCTGACATGTTGGGCCTATACCCTTCTGTGGATTTTTTCTTGCAGGAGAATCATGGTGATCCTCTGAGCAGCGACTCTCTGCAGGAATTTTCTTGGTTCAATGAGTTTTTAGCTAATTCGGATCTAGCATCAGGTCTTGATCCGTTCATGTAAGCACTATAGCAATCGTGAACTAGTAAAGTACGGTTCAGAGATTCTATATCACATTTTCTAATCTTAGCGGACCGATTCACGGTTAGTTGTACGTTCAACAGTGAGAATTATGCTCATTCGATCCGCGGCGGAAAGAGTCGTTGTGCGGTTCCCTCCGAATATCCTCCATATCCGCAATACCCGCTTTGCCTTACGATCCACAAACATGAAATGCAACATGTAGGGGAGAATGTGCACGGATATCACTGTAATATTTCTACAAGCTTAACATACACACTCTTCTATCAGAAAGTCCTAGCTCCCTTGTGGAATTTACAATGTTCTCTGAATGCATGCCCCATCGGTATCTACTCCACTTGCAGTCCTACCGCAGTTAACACCTGATTGGGAATTTTGCCAATATCACGTATCAATACATCACCCAATAGACTATATGAGATCTCTGTGAAACTGAAGAGAGGTTGTTTGATCAAAAGAAGGTCGCGGAACAAGATACACAAAGTGCGGATATTGCGGGCAATGCGGAACCAGTGATGAGAAAACCGTAGTTTTGTTCTCACTCTTACCTGAACATCGCTTTACATACATAGTTTAGGAGAATAAAGAGATTACAAAACCGCCCTGCCTCGTCTGTTATCACAATCCAAACAAAAAAAAACAATAGCTTCACTTCTCGATCAAGGACGACCACTACTCAGCAGAGATGCATCAACACCCTAGCACTACACCCTGCGACCCCAACGAGGTTTGTCACGCCCGCAACGAGAACAAGCCAGAAACGGAACAAGAGATTTCGGGTGGTGCACAGAGTCCGAATCATGGAGTCACATTCGACTCGCCGCACGATGACCAGAACCCACAGGACTGGGCGCCATGGAAAAAGTTACGTACCCGCACCTAACCAACCTTTGGTCAAAAGACCAGAGTGTAAGGAGATAGAACATAAGCTCCGCTCAAAGACATCGAAATACTTCAGCTAACATGAGCGTCGACTGAACAGACTCGTCATCTCTACCACCGCATGCACGGGAACCTTGATCGCAAGTTTCAACAGCGCAATCTACAACGCAGCTGTTGCGCCCAGCAGCACCGAGTTCAACGTGGCAAACAGAGTCGCAGTACTGGGTACCAGCCTCTTTGTGCTAGGCTTCGCATCTGGCCCCGTGATATGGGCTCCAGGGTCTGAAATGCTTGGGCGCCGTTGGCCACTTGTGTTTGGCGTCTTCGGATCCTGCGTATTTACGTTTGGAAGCGGTATGGCGGAGAATGTGCAGACACTCATCGTGTGCCGGTTCTTTGCGGGCTTGTTTGGCGCAAGCCCTCTGTGCGTTGTTCCTGCTGTGCTGGCAGATTTGTACAACAGCACGTTTCGCGGTGTGGCGATATCGCTGTATGCGCTGACGGTGTTTGGGGGTCCGTTTCTTGCACCCATCGTTAGCGATTTCATCGCTGCAAGTCACTTGGGGTGGCGTTGGACGCTATATCTTCCTGCGATTTTAGGGCTTGCTAATTCCTTGTTCCTGTTGCTATTGTTCCGGGAGACTTTTGCCCCATTGGTACTGGTGCAGAAGGCGCAGCTGCTGCGGCGGCAGACTGGTGACCGAAACATTTATGCTGAACAAGAGAGACTAAAGCTAGATGTCCACGCTGTGGTGAAAAAATACCTTATTCGACCGCTTCGCATGCTAGCGACGGAGCCCATTATCCTCTTGGTATCCATGTATATGTCGTTCATATATGGATTAGTTTATGCACTTCTAGGGGCATATCCATATGTATTTCAGCATGTCCATGGCATGCCGGCCGGAGTACGGACTTTGCCATTTCTCGGACTACTCCTGGGTGTGATTTTAGCTCTTCTCTTTATCCTTGGCCAACACAGGCCGTATTGTCGCAAGCTAGAGGCAAACAATGGGAAGACAATACCAGAATGGCGGCTTGGACCTGCTATCTTGGGAGCTGTTGTGTTCACGGTTGGTCTATTCTGGTAAGTCTTATGCGTAACCATTAACATTTTTTTTAAAAAAAAAAAAGACTGATGGTTCTGCTCCAGGTTTGCTTGGACAGGCTTCACTAATGCTATCCATTGGATGGCGCCAACTGCAGCCGGGGTATTTATTGGGTTTGGAGTGCTCTGCATCTTTTTGCCTTGCTTCAACTATCTCGTTGATGCTTTTCTGCCTCTGTAAGTAATGTTTAGTCCTTGAGTGCGCCTTTGCCAATCACGTTGACTGATATGTCAACTCAAACCAGAGCAGCTTCCGCAGTTGCAGCCAACATTATGCTCCGTTCAGCAGTTGCAGCTGGTTTCCCTTTATTCTCTACTCAGATGTTTGGAAATCTCGGGATCCAGTGGGCAGGGATGCTCCTCGCCTGTCTCGCCACGATCATGATACCAATCCCAATAGTTTTCCGAGCATATGGACCGGCCTTGAGAGCAAAGAGCAAGATCCTGGTGGAAGCCGCTAGTGAAGTGATGGTATGAAAACCAAAAGGCTAAAGGAAGTGTGTATCCGATGAGCGGATGATATGTTAGTTACGACGTAAAGGGGAAAATAATATTAAAAGGCTTAATGTGGTGAGGGGAATGCAAAGGTTCGATAGCGAAGAATATGCATACAACGATGAAATACGACGTCGAATCAATGCGCAGGAAGATTGCAAAACTAGTTGCGATCGATCGAATGAGCACAATATTCGACATTGCATGGTGTTGCAGGATTTTGAATCCGCTATCCGATTTTCGTCCGTCAGTAATGGGCAGCCCAGACTCATAAACAAAGCAAATATTTGCTCACCGTCTACGCGGAGCATTTGGAGGCCAGACCCCAGTACAGAGCGGTCAGATGTGCATGACGTAATGGCATGGATTGATGTGAGCCCCGCATGTGTCATCTGCTGGGAGAGGTGTATAATCCTTACAAGACGTTGGTTGCAACAATTAGACGCTTTCATAAAAGTCGCAAAGCAGATGGCATGATATGGACGAGGAGGGGAGCGTGGGGATTCGCGACATTCCGGAGGGTTGGCAAAGGAATTCGGATGTCCGTAATTGCCGGTCCCGAAAGACGAGGGTATCATAGGCCATACTATGTACATAGTAGTACATACATGTGCGAAGAGAGGTCGAAGACTGGGCATCGACTGCCACGGAGACTTGGAGGTCAGACAATGTCCGGAATGTTGACAAAGTAGGTAAAGTCGATATGCGGGTATTTGAGGTGGAGTCTGGCACCACCTCACATCACATATTGCACATGTCGCATCGAGCGATCGGTGGCCGTCTGCACTACCAGCACTAACCAACACGGCGAGCACTAGGCAGAAGAATGCAGGCCCATTCGTTCTGTTGTGATGAGTCAAAGCCAAGCTGCAGGGCTGAGTGGCTGGGTGGATGGGTGGATGGGTGGATGGGGTAGATGGGGTGGCTGCTCACACTTGGTGTCTTATGTTAGTAATGCGTGTGCCGACCAAAGCATGCAACCGTCAACAGCGCAGACAAGATGGCCAAAAGCCGGAACCCCAGCTCTAGTGCAAACCTACTACCAGAACAAGTCTGGGTTGTGTGCATAAGCCATGGACTACGGATGGTAGAAACCGATGACAGTTACATCTGGGTACAAGTTGGCCAAGTTACATGACGGTGAGCTTCAGCGTATATCAGGGCGGAAGCGGGCGGATGGCGACAGAGTAGACGAGCATCGAAGCCAGCGCGTATGTACAATGCCTGTCGCCTGTCGCCTGTCGCCTGACCGCGCCTTGCCAAGTGCGAGCAAAGCTTCTGAGGAATACTGGTATAGGCGTGGCCCACGTGATGCTGATCCATGCCAGCGCCAATGGTTTCTTGAACGCCTGAGGCTCGGACAAAGCCTGGAGTTAGTAGGTGGTGATTTGAAATTTGCACACCACCACGGGTACTAAGAGAAAAAATTTTAGTAGCCATGATCTCACAGGTGGTCCAGGCGGATACAAACGTATTAGCTTCCGATGTATCCTGCACGGGCCGAGCATCACGATACTGCACATGTCTATGAACATAGTAGACGAATATCCGATGCAAAGAATGCCAGGGCAAAGAGCGGATGATCGATACGGATGGTGAGAGGGATCCAAGCCCACCCAAGTGGCTGGACTGCCCTTCTGACCTGTTGGTCGCAGCCACGCCATGGCATGATGCAGCGAGTGCTGGTGCGGCAAAGGATAACGCTGCGTCCTGGAACTCGCCATATGGGTGTCTGGCAGGGCAAAGACTCAGCCGTGGGATTGGATTGGGTGTGTGTAAAGAGAGGGTCCTTTTTTTTAAAGTACATGGTCGTTAGCGGTGGCTGATGGCTGATGAGTGATGGGACGGTGGGAGGCGGCGGCGGGTGGGGAGTAGGCGTGTGGTCTGTGCATGTCCAGACCCACCTTGGGCAAGACAACTGCACTCGGCCATGTGGACGTCACAACTGGCAAAAGACGCGATGCAATGCGATCGGAATATTCTCGACGCTGACAAACTCGCATAGCCATGACCTGCTCCAATTCACAGTTCCGCAACTTCCGGCCCAAGTAGTATACATGCAAGGCGCACCCCCTCTGGTAGTGCTGGCCAGTTGGCTGTACACCAGTACTTGATACCTTTTTCGTTTGCTGTTTCCCTTGGATTCACCTTGCCTCCTCTTGCTTCTTTGGCTGCACATACCTACCGGCTACAGTCTCGCTGTACAACCGAGTCGCACAGTTTCCTCTATTCCCTTCTACTCGCGCTTTCGCATCGCATTCCTGTCAAGACTACACCATTCCTACTGAATACACTCATCATGAGGCACCGTGGGGGTCTTGCGATAGCTGCTGCGGCACTGCTACTAGAGCTTGTGCCGCTGGCAGTCGCCCATGGTGGCGACAAAGCCATGGATATGAATGCGCATGATATGCCCAAAGCGCAGCCTCAACAAGCCGGCTTCGGAGGCTACTGGAGTCTTTTTGAGCATGCTTCGCTCATGTATTGGCACATTGGGCTCGAAGTGTTGGCCTGGGTCGTTGTCCTACCAATAGCCGTCATGTTCAGTATCTCGCGTTCGCGCTTTACTCTGCTATCGCAGTTAGTCTTCCTTGCTACCAATGCACTTGCGCTTGTGCTTGGCCTCGTCTACAATCACAAGACACCAGAAATGTATGCAGGAAACGCGCACCGCAAGGCTGGTTGGGCCATTACATGGATTGCTTCGGCATGGGTGTTTTTGGCTCTGGTCCAGGTCTATGCTGGCATGCACGACAAGGAGTCGGTCGAGGATCAATTCAAACACTCCATGACTGCTGCAAATATGCTCAGATACCAGCGTGTACAGGACGATGAGCTCTCGGATTCATCAAGATGGTCGGGCGATTCTGGCCAAGGTACCGAACGAAACTCGGCTTCATTGTACGACCCATCCCCATCACCCAGCGTCGAGTCCGAAGTCCAGCAGTTTATCGGCCAAAACCATGATGATGCGCATGACGATGACTCTGGTGAAAATGATAATGAAAAGCACCATCTTCTACACAACACGCCCGTCGACCGCTTCTTGGCTCGCAACGTCGCCCGCTTTGCTGTGGGCCGTACACTGAAAGCGATCCGATTTTTCTATGTCCTGGTTGAGCGTACCATCCTGATCCAAGGCTTCGTGGCCATTGTCAGTGGTGCTGTCGTTTATGGAGGCATCGGACGAGGAGGTGCCGTCTTCAATGTTCTAGCGCACACGGTCAAAGGAGGAATCTTCTTCGTGTACGGTTTCCTCACGCTCGGCCGGTGGATGGGCGCATTTGCAGACTTTGGATGGGCGTGGAACGTCAAGCCGCCCAAGGAGGTTGTTGGTCGTTGGCGAGCCGCGCTGCCGTCGGCGGAGTTTACTGAATCCTTTGTCATCTTTCTCTACGGTTGTACCAACGTCTTCCTCGAGCATCTGGCTGCATGGGGCGACGCCTGGACTGCGCAGGACTTGGAGCACGTCTCCATCTCCATCATGTTCTTCGGTGGTGGTTTGGTAAGTGGCTTGTCACGGCTCCTTCACTCTAGCGCGACATTAGCTAATCTCCTTCCTAGTTGGGAATGTGCATCGAGTCGAGCAAAATGCGCGACCTGCTCAACAGCGGCGTTGCGGCCTCGCAGGCTGCCTCTGTAGAACACGAGGCATGGCAGCAGCCACGCCAGTACCGCTTCTCCATGAACCCTCTGCCGGCTTTGATCATTATGCTGCTCGGCAAGATGATGAGCTCTCACCACCAGGACTCGATGGTTTCGACCATGATACACAGCCAATGGGGGTCCATGTTCATGGGCTTCGCACTTGCACGTGCTCTCACCTACATCACCCTGTACATTTCGCCGCCAACATCCTTCCTTCCATCCCGGCCGCCAACCGAGATTGTGACTGCATTCTGTCTCATCTCAGGCGGCATCACTTTTATGGTCAGCAACAAGGATACCGTTGCAGCTCTCGAATCATACAACCTGGATGCCATGTTCATCTTCACAGTCGTCATGGGACTCACCGCGCTTCTCATGGCTTGGACCACAGTTGTCATAGCCATCAAGGGCTGGGCCTTGCGCAAGGAGAGCAGCAGTCAATGGTCCAAGAGCCACACTGGTGTCTTGGCTTGATTGCTTGCCAGACAGTATCAGTCTCGAGCACGCTGGCTTGCTCTAATAGTCATGCATCCTGGAAGCTGGACTTTTCCTTTGATACCCCACTTGTTCCCTTGTTTACGACCCGATGTTTCTTTTTCTTTTTCTTTTTTTGGTTTCATGACATTGCTGCAGTATACCCATTTCCCCAAGGATGGCGACAGCCTGGATAGCTGCAATAATACCCTTGTTTGTTGCAATCATGGCAGCGGTAATGGCAGGGCAGTGGGAGGACGGGTTCCTTCGGCAACGAGCGGCTCATAATGATCATCAATATTGGATAACGGACACACGCTCTTGGTACTAATGTAGGCGAGTGCTCTGGGAGGCACATGGGGTGGAGCAATTACGAATAATTAAGCTTGGTTTATCTCATAGATTTTCATGGACTGTGTAGTACTCATCTGGGTATCAAATGTAAAGCCGTCAAATTTCAAGCACCCCGCAGCTTCTTTACCGTACTCCTCGCCCCCGGCCGGCAACGCCTCTTGCGATGCCTGTACCGCCTCTTGCGCCCCTTGTGGTGCCGCCGCGGGTAGGGATACCGCCGCGCCCGCCAGCGCGTGGTATGCCTCCCCTACCTCTTGGTAGGCCCGATGTTTTGGCTGCCGGCGCAGGCGTCTGAGGCTTGGATGGAGTCTTGCTGCTTGGGGGGTTGTCAACAAAGGATGTGTCGGTGGTCAAAAAGGTCGCCTCCATGTCTTCTGGCCCCAGCGAGCGGCTGAGGTTAGCAGCCCCGCCGTCGGGCTGGTTCTGTGGCCGCTTGAAGGACTCGTGGATTGGGGCCTGGAGATGGTTGTCAGTAGCCGTTGTACCATGGTTCCGCTTTGAGACGCTGTCCTACGCACCTCTGGGAAATCAACGCAGAAGGCGTTCATGTTCATGCCGTAGAGAAAAGCGGCAAAGCTCTCGGAGAAGCGGGCCAGGCTCTCGTGCATCAATTGAAGCTGCACGAAGTTTTGCTCGAGGTCTGCCATGGCGTCGCTCAGCTCTGCAAAGCCATCCTGGAGACCTTGGAGCGCATTGTCGGAAGCAGAGGCGGCACGGCCGCGCTGGGAAGAGTCGCGTAGGGAGGAGCGCGAAGAAGGGCGAAGGGGCGTCGTGGGGCGGGAGCGAGGGGACTTGCTACGGGTGCGCCGGTAGGAGGGGGTTGTTGTAGGTGTTGTGGACGCCATGGAAGATTGGGTGTTGTTGTTGTTGGTGGTGGTGGTGGTGGTGTTGGTTTTGTTGTTCTTGTTGGCTGAGGGGCAGGGCCCTGGAGTATGTAGTAATGGCACACGAACGCGAGGGGCTGCTTGAGCTCTCGAGGCCAACGGTGCACTGATGGAATGCAGATTGGCTGTATTCACGTGTATACTCACATGCCTGCGTACCTACATAGCTCTATGCGTACAAAATAACCAGGGTCGCTCGCCCGCCCATCCGCCCGCCCCCACGCGCTAGGACACTTGCATCGATGATGGCATTGCTCGAGTCGGTGGTACCGATAATGCACATTCTCCCCTACATATGCCCATCGCATCCTGTGAACGCATATGCGTACTTTCCTACATATGCCCCTCGCACGCGCAGAGGTCAGCGGTTTAGCCAGAGTCGCTCCCTTCAGGCGGCCCGCCGTCTCGCCCGTCTCCCCCTCCGCCTTGCTTGTCCGTGTCTGCTCCGCCATAAGGCGCGAAGGCACTGCTGCGCCGCCCGACCCGGCACCACCGCCCGACGTCACCCTAGTGGGCACAAGTCCCGCTCACCTTGAGCCTCAGCAAAGTGACATTCATGTTGCGTCGCGCACAGCCCCAGCGACAACTATTGCAGACCTCCTTCATAAAGCTTCGACCCTCTGCCAATCCTCTCCACCACCTCCACGCCCCCTTCTTCGCCTCCTATAGCCCCGCCCGCCTAGTCACGCGGGCATATATAACACATCATCGCCGGCACTGCACGACACATACACCACACAAGAACAGCGGGCTCGACCTCTGGGCTGTAGCAGTAGTCGCAGGTCTCGCCATTGGCGGCGCTCTTCTTGTGCCTTTTGTACCAAGCTCTTCAGGGGCAGAGACTGCAAAAGCCCCTCGCTCGACCAAGTCCGCCGCCGCCTACGACTTTGCAGACTCGTATCTAGTCATGGCGCCAAACACCCCAGCCGGCCGACCGGGCACCCTCACACCCGATCAGGAGAAGAAGCTGCGCGAGCTTTGGGGCATCGTGTTAAAGATTTTTGGCGTCGAGGTGGGGTCGGACCAAACAAACGGGACAGCCGCACCGGCCGACGAGGAAGTGCTGTCGCCTACAGCAGACGGGAAAAAGGACAAGAAGAAGAGCCGTTTGCATGTCTTCAAGAGAAGCAAGGGGGACAAGAGTGCAGACGACAAATCGTCGACTGCCTCGGAAGCGTCGACTCCTACTGCAGACCTAAGCAAATTATCCATATCTGCCGAAGATGACAAGTTTGGCCAGACTGCAGAGTTCAAGGCCGCAATAGCAAACATTCCCCCAGAGGAGCTCCGGAAAACCTTTTGGAGCATGGTCAAGCACGACCATCCGGATGCGCTCCTCCTTCGCTTCCTGCGCGCCAGGAAATGGGACGTTGAGAAGGCGCTGGTCATGATGATCTCAACAATGCAGTGGAGGCTGAACGAAATGCATGTCGACGACGACATCATGAAGAACGGTGAGCTTGCCGCTCTCGAGACCACGGCGACGGACGCAAAGGAGAAGAAGAACGCAGACGACTTCCTGGCGCAACTGCGCATGGGCAAGAGCTATTTGCACGGGTTGGATAGTGAGGGAAGGCCAATGTGCTTTGTTCGCGCAAGATTACACAAGGCTGGTGAGCAGACTGAAGAGAGTCTGGAAAGATTCACCGTCTACTTGATCGAGACGGCGCGCATGCTGCTGAGGCCGCCGATTGATACAGCCGTATGTTGAGGTGATGATGAGACAGCAGAGTGTTTAGACTGACGCCTACAGACCATCGTTTTCGACATGACCGACTTTTCCATGGCCAACATGGACTACACACCTGTCAAGTTTATGATCAAATGTTTTGAAGCAAACTACCCCGAATCTCTTGGAACCGTCTTGGTCTACCGCGCACCCTGGGTGTTCAACGCGGTCTGGGCTGTGCTCAAGGGATGGTTAGATCCTGTTGTTGCCGGCAAAGTACACTTTGTAAAGAACGTACAGGACTTCAGCACCTTTGTGCCCAAGTCGCAGATTCCGACCGAGTTGGGCGGAGACGAAAAGTGGGAGTACAAATACCCGGAGCCCGTACCTGGTGAGAATGACAAGATGAAGGAGGAAGGACCGAAGCAAGAACTGCAAAAGGAGAGGCAGGACATTGTAGACAAGTACGAGGCTACAGTAGTCGAATGGGTTCGTGTAGGTGACGGCGCGTCGCTAGAAGAGAAGAGGAAAGCAAGAGACGTGCTAGCAGAGCAGCTGAGGCAGAACTACTGGAAGTTGGATCCGTATATTCGAGCGCGTTCGCTATACGACCGCCTGAAAGTGATCCAAGACGGAGGCAAACTCGACTTTTACAGCAAGGCGGCCGAGCCTGCTGGCAGCACACCTACTACAGCTGGCGAGACGAGCGCCGACGACGTTGACTAGGGCTTGAAGGCTCTGGTGCTTGGGCGACCGTGGTACTTTGAACTCTCAACACCCAGGCCAGTGGTTCGAAGCAGTAGAACAAAAAAAACATTTTTTTTCTCTGCACGTGCACGCAGCCTCTAGATATTCTCATTGCTGATACTCTAGCTAATGAGAAGGCTCTTGTCTCTAGTCGTTTGTTTTGTTGTTACTTTCTTCTTCTCTTCTCTTTTTTTTTGACTTTTTGCCCTCCTCGTTCCACGCATTGCAACAAAGACAAGGACCAAAAGGAAACGGAAATTAGACGGGCAAGGGAGGGGAAAAACGGACAGAGAGACAGATGCATACACAGGTATACACATGGACTCACATGTACAGCACTCTAGTTATCGTAATAATATTCCCCCTCTTCTTTTCTCTCTCTCTCTCTCTCTCTCTCTCTTCTTTGTTGTTTCCCAAGTTTGGCTGTTTTGTTGGCGTTTTAACCTTTGCTACCGTGACTCGACATAGTTTGATACTTCGCGCCGCCCCTTTTTTTCTCCTCGTTCTCGCAAACCAACCTTGTTTTGAGAATTGACTTGTCGCGTGGTCAATTTCCAATAACGACGACAACAACACCAACACCAACAAAACCTTGGGCCAGAAGCAGACAGACACGCAAACAAGAACAACAAGACAGGAACACGAGCAGCATAAACGGCGGTGTGTTTGAAACTTGGCTCCATTTGCCCATATTGACCGGACAAGCGCGGGTGTGGGCGCGCGCGCGCGTGCGTGTGAGTATGTGTGTGCGCGACTTTGTTATATGCATGCATGTCGAGTACCCAGATAAAAAAAAAAGAGCGTGGCTAGACCAAAGTGTATTGTGCTGTGAGCAAGTCCGGCTGGGATCGAAACGTATAGTATCAATCGGACATTTTAACTCGTCACATGTGGCACCCTGGGGCTTTTTCCCGATCTGCATCGTGCGGCTAGTCAGCGGAATTACGTCATACCCCTGTTCGTCGTTGCTTTTGTCTTCCTTCTTCCTCGCTTTCTTCTTTTTGCTTCTTAACCTCTTTGAACACTGTATCACCGCCCTCGGCGCGCCAGCCGCCCAACCCCCTATTTTACTTTTACCCTTTCCTTTCCCCTTGCCTAATCTGCCCATCTCGTGTCTTGTTTTGCCCGTCGGGGGTTTCTTGATTCGTTTATTGCTTGCCAGGAGGGGCCATGTGGGTACATGGGAATAGATGCATGGGTGTGAGTTTACTTACTGGGGCCCGGAGACGCTAGGTCGACACTACACCAGAAACAAACGTCTCTCCACGCCGACTCGTCTTGAGTGTTCAATGTCTTTTTTCAACATTTTGCTTTGGGCTCGCCTATCTTGCCAGCTAATAATACAGTTTGTTCTAATGGAAGAGGAAGGTGTCATGGTTGCAAATAAGAGTGGACAGGGGGGCCATAAGGCGTATTAGCGCTGGTAGTGCCATGGCGACAGCGTCGTGCGGTTCTGTTTGAAGGATTTGTTTTCCAACGCAGAGAGCTGGACTATTGCAGCATTATCTCAATTGAGGTAGCAGGTGCACATTGTTTTGTGTACACGTTTCTTCTGATGTCTCGAACCACGTTTTGCATTGATCTCTTTGCCCATGGCAACGGTTTCCCTTCTACGAAACGACTTTGATATCCCGGCCACCCCTTGTTCGGTGGCTTTCATGGCTGCTGACCTCGTCCATTTGCACGGCCATTTGATTTGCGTTTTCAAGTCCGCTCTGGACTGCTTCGGCGACATCCCCTCTGGGAGCGGCTTCGCCCATTCGCAACGTCGAGGCACCTGACTTGTCGCCATCGGCGTCTGCTCCGGCTAGTGAAAGTCCCTGTGCGGGACGGTAGGTAATTCTGCCCTCGGCAGCGGCCGCGAGACGTTGCTTTTGGCCAGCCTCCCCAGCCCGACCTAGCACGCCGGCGATGACTTGGATGCAGCGCAGACTGTGGCAGTGTCAGTAGCAGGAACAATGGTTCGTCACAGCACTCTTACCTGTCGTCGTTGGCCGGGATTGGGTAGGTGACCCAAGTGGGGTCGGCATTGGTGTCAATGACGCCAATGGTTGGGATGTTGTTCAGGGCGCATTCGTGGAGCAGGACGTAGTTTTCCAATGGGTTCAGGCACACGACTAGATCCGGGCGAAGGGCGGGCCGGTCGTAGAGCTGCTCGTCAAAGCCCTTGACCTCCTCATCCAGCTCGTTGACAACCTTTGTCTTGCACCGGCCGAGGATCTGCTGGCCGTTTGTGATGCTGCCGGGGATCCAGCGCTCGAACAAATGATAGCCCTTGGCCAGCTCGGCGGCCCTGGCAACGGCCCTGTCCTGGCCATCACGGGTTCCCACAAACAGTATCATGCCTCCCCGGCGGGCGACTTCCTGGACAACCTTTGCGGATCGACGCAGGTGGGCGGCGGTGACTTCGAGCGAGATGATGTGGACGCCCTGCCTGATGCCGTGTATGTAGCGGGCATTTGCGGGGTTCCAGAGCGACGTGACATGGCCTTGGTGGGCTTCGGAGGCGAGCAGCAGCTCGAGAGTGACGTCGGCAGGTGAGGGCGGGTGGTTGAGCAGCGTGTGCGGGCGGTAGTGCGGGGCAATGTCGGACCCCAGCTTTCCCAGCATCTTGGCTGGAGCATGTCATGTTAGTAGGGCTGCGATGCGGGCGTGGTGGAGGTGAGATATGGCGTACCCTGCTGCTTGTACAGGTGGTACTGGGCGGCCACATGGTCGCGGGGCTGGGACTCGGGGTCAATTGAGGGCAGCGGCTGGTCGAGGTGTGTGTTGAGCTGGGCCTCGAGTGACTGGAGCTGCTTGAGGCTGTTGGCGGTCGAAGCCTCGATGGCGGCGATGTCGGTGGAGAGAAAGCGGCGCAGCGGGCGGGACTGGCGGCGGGCGAGTGCCCGAGAGCCTGGGGGGTGAAGAGTGAGCAGTGGGCAGAGTGGGTGTAGGCGTGTATACATACCAGTGCGGGCGGCAATGCTCCTCACGATCATGCTGTGTGCGCGCACGTCGTGCAGTCGCAGGCGTGCCAAAATCTCGCAGCCGGGGGCGGCACGCCAAGCCCCGTGACGTGCTAGGCCATTCCGGGCAAGGCGGCGTCCTCAGCCTCAGCACCAGCCTCTCCACTCTGGCGGCATGGGCGACGGGCATGCGAGGCCGCCCACGCCCAATTGCCCGCCGTGGGCCGCGTCGGAGGAGCTGCGAGGGCACCACCATGGCGGCGAGGGCACTGCGAGGGGGGGCGGCGCCGGTTGAGCGTGCATCGGTCCCACTCGGAAGAACAAGCAGGGCAGGTCATGACAGCAGCAGGCATGGCATTCCCAGAATCCCATGGCGGCCGCTGTGTGGTCCCTGCTGCTGCTGCTGATGCTGCTGGCTGCTGACAGGCCTCATGGCTGCTGGCTGCTGGCTGCTGGCTGGCTGCACTAATGGCCGCATTGCTTTTGGCCCGACTGGTGCTGCGACGGGCCCTGTGTGGGTGGTGGACAGAGTAGTTAGTATACATGTCCATGTAGGTATGTGCGTCTGTGTCTGCGTCTGTGTCCACACCCAGTAAGTATAGCCCATGTATGTAGTGTATGCGTGGTGCGAGTGCGCATGCTACCACTGCTACGGCCGCACCGCCCGTGCTGAGGCCCCCGAGCATTGCGCGCCAAAGCCACTGACATCTTTCCGTGCTCTTCTGCAACTATCCCGCTCCCGGTCCTTCTTGGCCGCTAGCGCATTCGACTCAGCCTGCACATCTCGCCCTGCACATCCAACCTCCACAACCCACACCCCCCCCCTCCCACCCCCAGACCTGCCCGACCACATCCCGCGGCCTCTCCAAATGGCCTGCGCCTAGCTGGTTCTCCGCCCCTCGCCCTCGCATGCCACTTGTCTCGCCCTGCTCGCTGCTGTCGCTGCTGCCTGTACCCCCGCCGCCACGCCTGTTTCTGCTGCTTCTGCTACTTTCACCCTCCTCACCCTCGCCGTCCTCGCCGCCACCACCGCCACAACGCACCGCCGGGCCACAGAAGCGATAGCGCACAACACCGCCCACGGGCGCCTGCCGCCCTCTTGGATGCCCACAACCCGGTGCTCGACGCTGTCTCCCGCCACCCAAGTCTCCCGCCCACCCCACTGCCCGCCATGAACGGCTACCCATACCCTCCGCGGCCCTACGGCCAGGCCAACAACGGGTCCATGATGATGGGCCTCGAGGCCGATGCCATGAACGGCTTCGACATGTCCGAGGGCCAGTCGCTCGACTCAATGGTCGCCCAGAACGACAAGGAAAACCGCAGGCGGAGCATGCCGCCCTTCGCGCGAGGCTCGCAGCAGATGAACCTGGGAAGCCCTGAGACGCGCCGCTTGAGCATGATGAACTTTGGCGACCCCAATGGCGGAGACATGGAGGATTTTCGTTTCGACATGTCCTCGGCCACCATGGACAACCTCATGCACTCCAGCACCGCCTCGTTCCCACGCTCCACGGCTGCTATGCAGAACGACCAACTTCCCGCAACCGACCTCAGCATTGGCAACCAGTACCAAGGCCAGACATCGCCCTTTCCCCAAATGACCGCCCCGGGCTCGGCCTATGCCTCGCCCATGCACCAGAAAACCTCTCTCGACATGGAAATGTCGTATCAAAACGGCATCAACATGTCACTAGACATGAATGACTCGCTCAACATGATGCCTTCGGACATGAACATGTTTCCTGGCAACCAGTTCAACTCTCCCCTACTTGGCTCTCCCCTTAACCAAGACTTTGTCGGTCCCATTCCCACCGCTCCACAGGACAACGGAAACACCAACAATAGCAATACCAACGCCAACACCAATAACAATAGCAGCAACAACACCCCTTCCACACAAGCCCAAGACCATTTCAAGCGCCCTTCGGTAAATAATACACCCGACCCAAAGTCGGGCAGATCTAGTTACCTCAGTCGAGCACTCAGCCAAGACCAGGCTAGCATGCGTTCCCACTCCAGGCCTCAGAG